AGTTAAGGCTGTTATGGGAGTGCTGTGTGGTTGGATCCTAGAGGTGATTACTTCTTCCTTGAAAGAGGGGGCTGTTCTGTAACCCCTTAAGGAGGCATTGGTTTTCCCCCTCCTCAAGAAACCATCACTGGATCTTACCATACTGGACAACTTTCATCCAGTGTCTAACCTCCCATTTTTAGGGAAGTTTGTGGAGAAAGTGGTTGCTCAGCAGCTTCAGCAGGCCCTGAATGAAGTGGATTATCTGGACCCGTTTCAGTTGGGATTCAGGCTTGGGCATGGGACACAGATGGCATTGATCTCACTTTTGAATGATCTCTGGTAGGAGCAGGACGGGGTTGTGCTTCTGTCCTTGCTCTTCTTGACCTCTTGGCGGCCTTCAGCACCATCAACCATGATGTCCTTCTGGATTGGCTCTGTGAGTTGGGAGTGGGTGGCACAGTACTGAACTGGTTTGCTTCCTTTTTACAGGGCCGGTGCCAGTTGGTGTTAATTGTGTGTGAGGTCCCACCCTCAATCCCTATTATGTAGGGTTCCATAGGGATGCTCTACAAATTCCTCTACTCCTATTTAAGATCTTATCCCAGTGCCTGGAGGCTGTGGGTGTCTGGATGGGGAAAAACAGGCTTCAACTGAACCCTGGCAAGACTGAGTGGCTCTGGGTTTTTGGGCCTTCTGGATCTGGGAATTTACCATCTTTGGTACTGAATGGAGCTGCACTACATCAGACAGATCCGGTGCGCAACCTAGGGGTCCTTCTAAACTCTCCACTTCTGTTCAAGGAGCAGGTGGCAGTCGTGGCTAGGAGGGCCTTCGCACAGGTTTGTGTTGTGCCCCAGCTGTGCCCCTTCCTGGACCATGAGGCTCTACTCACTGTCACTCATGCCCTGGTCACCTCCAGAATAGATTACTGTAATGCGCTCTATATGGGACTGCCCTTAAAGATCATCTGGAAGCTTCATCTGGTGCACAAAGCGGCTGCATGGACAGTTATGTGTGCTCTAGACCTCTGCTCTGAAAGCTGCATTGGTTGCCAGTTTGCTTCCGGGGGCAACTCAAGGTGCTGATTTTAACCTTTAAAGCCCTACATGTCATGTGACTAGGTTATTTGAGGGACCATCTCTTCCCAGTTATATATACCTGTCCCATCAGATCCAGCAGAAGAGCTATGCTTCAGATCCTCTCTGCTAAAGAGCTCCATCTGGCAGGACCCAGGAGACGTTCCTTTTCTGCTGTAGCCCCTGCCCTTTGGAACATCATTCCCGCTGAGATGAGGCTAGCCCCATCTCCGTTAGCCTTCTGGAAAGCCTTGAAAATGTAGTCCTTCCATCAATCCTGGGGATCCCATGCTGAGTTTGTGTCAGGCCCAGCCCAAGAACAATGGTGAAACAGTCCAGTTGAGTAAAGTTCCTTTATTTACTTACACCTTATAGACAGAATCTTTCCAAACTAACTCTATACTACAGCAACTAGTGGATATGCCCTGGGAGATTCTAGGGAGTGGCTACCCTGAATCTCTTTTGCTTCTCACACTCCCCCTGTGGACTGTATAGTCTCATCTCCTTTTTGCTCCTGGAATGCACCCCTCATTCCTGATAGCCTTGATCTCCCACATCACCCTCCTCCTCACAGATACATTCCATCACAGCCTGCAAAGTGGTTGTATGAGGCTAAATGATGTTCTCCCACTATCTTTTTAAAAATGTTTTTATTCTTTTATGTTTCAATTTTTGTTCTTATTTATGTTTGATGATTTTTATATTTTGATATGGTTTTAATGGTTATTCTGCTTGTCAGCCGCCAAGAATAACTTCTTGTGAGATGGGCGGCTATATAAATTTGCTAAACAAACAAACAAACAAACAAACAAACAAACAAACAAACAAACAAACAAACAAACAAACAAACAAACAAACAAACAAACAAACAAACAAACAAACAAACAAACAAACAAACAAACAAACAAACAAACAAACAAACAAACAAACAAACAAACAAACAAACAAACAAACAAACAAACAAACAAACAGCATGTGGATTTACTTCATCCCAGCCTGTGAATAATGATCCTGGCTTGAGATTTTTCTCAATGTGCATGCAGAGTGCACACTTTTTTTGCATTTTCTTCTGAGCTCAAAACAGATACATAAGGTTTTGTTCTGAGCTGTTGTTACTGAATGCTAAACATGTGTGCATGTGCAAATATAAATATATTGGGGAAGAGAAAAAGATTGTAAGCGTACATGGCAATAAGCCATGATTAGCCTATTTATAGTCTAAACCTGTTTATATGACTAAACCATAATGGAATACAGTTAGCCATAAATAATTGTTTATGTTGGGTTCACACAACCCACTAAGCAAGCAAACCACATTATAGCTTAGTTTATTTTGTGAACAAGACTATATCTGACCTTCACAGGTATTTTGTGTGCAAGGGGATGAAATAAGCATAGCAATGATGGGGCTGCAATTGGAATATCAGAGTATACAGGAAAACATGTACAGTTTATGTACAGTTGTTGCTATCTGATCAGTATGGTTCAGTTTCTTTGAATGTAGCTAAATTTTGTTATACTGTCTGTAAAATTAGGCAGGCTTTGATTGCCCACTGATGATCCCACCATCGCTATTATCATGTTTTATTTTATTTCATTTTAATGCACTTTTATTTGTATTTGTATACATTTGTATTTTATCTGTAATTCTGGTCTGTGACCTTAATAAAGTATTGAATTGAATTGATAGGAAAAAAGAAGTGGGCAGCCAGAGTATAAAAATGAGATAAAACAACATTGTAGGTTCTATCAGTCACCAAGTTATGGTTACCACATCTGCAAAACTCTGGATGACCCTAGATGGCAACAAAGAAGTAGGTTTCCGTGTCTCTTTACTAGTGGTTGCCCAAATTGCAGCAGAGATCTGACAGCCCTAGTTAAGCAGTTATTTCACTGTATGAATCAACTATAAGTCAGGCATGTTCAGGCAGAAGTTTTCTGTATGCCTGGTTTGAACTTCAAGGACATAACTGGGAGCACTGAATGGACATCATAAAAGAGGAAA